CCGATATGCAGGTAGCTGTAATGTTATCTGGGAGAGACAATGACTGAAAGGAAATGATCAATTCTTCTGAAATAACTACACTGTCCTCTCTCATTCCACCCCAGCAGACGAATGACGTAAAAACAATGTAACTTCAGAATTAACCACACACTTAAATTCTGGGTGAGAGTGGGAGACCCAGGTCTGAATGCCGAGAGCTTGTGAAAGCACAACATTCACCATAAAGCCTCAAGAACTGAAGGGGGTTAGAAATACCCAGGCTTTAAAGCATCTCAGTCACTGTTCTATTGCTAGGAAGAGATAACATGGCCAAAGAAACTCTTAATAACCACACTTATCTCCATGGGCACTAGACTTTCTTCCATTACTTCCTTTGTCCAGCTTGCTACATTTCATGGTAGATCTATTCATAGCAGATCTACATAAGAGTGGCCACTAATAATCACCCAACCCAGTCAATACTAGTCTGTCTTGAAATCTCCTCTGTGAAGGCCATTAATCCAAAACTCTTCACTTTAACCTCAGGCAGATTTTTCAGATAAGGGCAGAAAGCAGCCACATTCTTTGCCAAAATATCATAACAAAGTATCTAAGCCACTTACCAATATTCTTCCCCTCTGAAATGTCTAGAGCCAAGCATCATATTCTAGACTGCTCTCAGAGCCACTGTCTTCCATGCTCCTAGTGTTTGGCCCATAAAGCACCACTTAAAGCATTCAACCACATTCCTAATCTAAAGTCCCCAAGTCTTCCATATTCCTCCAACAAGGAGCATGGTCAGGCCTGTCTCAGCAATACTTCACTCCCTGGTACCAACTGTCTATCTTACCACTGTTCTAGTGCTGTGAAGAGACACAATGAGCAAAGCAACTCTTACACAAGAAAGCACTTAAGTGGGGGCTTAGTTAGGCCACAATGGTAATTTACCAGGTTATGCACCATCAAACAATTTTCACAGCTGACATGGTGCTGTTTTCAAAGCTAAATTTATAGTGGCTTCCAATATTATCTATTTATCAGAAACTGTTTTCAACTAAGGAAACTTCCTATTAGAAAACTCACTGAGTGTTAAAATTGTGTTCACTTTGGTAGAAACCATGGATGACAAAATGTTGTTTCACTTAACTGTAGCACGCCGTACTTCTGGAATGCAGTTTAAAGTTTTCTTATTTTCAACCAACATCAAGACTGGTTGAAGCCAATGATGTCTGTAACAGTATACCATGAACAGAAGAAACCCTCACGGTCCTTTTACATATTTCTAATTGAGGACTTTAATCTTCTCACTTTAAATCATAGGCTGATGTCACTAAATCTGTTAGGCCCCATAGTGTTCTAACATTGGAAACAAAAAATACAATAGAGATAGGAGAGATAACTCAGCAGTTAAGAGCACTGACTGCTCATCCAGAGGACCCAAGTTCAATTCCCAGCACCCACATAGCAGCTCACAACTGTCTGTAATTCCAGACCCAGAAGAAACAATGTCCTCTTCTGGCATCTGTGGGCACCGTACACATATGGTGTATAGACATGCATTCAGGCAAAATACCCATAAACATAAAAATAAATCTCAAGAAAAATTTTAATTAGAAAAAATGCTATCAAAGGTACCATATCTTCTAAAAAATACACCTCCTTAACATATGTTAGGTCATCCTAGGTTAGGTAGAGTAGACTAGATTTTATTTGTTTATTTTCTTTGGGTGAGAAACTATATTTTAGATATTTAAGGCTGTCAACACTTCCATTAACTGAGTTGAAAAGGAATTATAAGGGAACTGCCTGGCAGAAGTAAACTAGTGAAGAGCATGTCCCATCTGAGAGACCTGTCTACTCAGAGTTTATTACTGGGAATAAACAGGCATACCATTGCCCCACACAACATTTAGAGGCAAGATGTGGATCTTTAGTAAAAATTGATGTTAGATGTTAACTAGAAAAATAGGCAGTAGTTGGAGGATATCATAAGTCTAACAGCTGTCCCTTTGTGGTCCTCATTTGCACCTGAAGCACAGGAAACACTTGGCCCTGAATACAAGTCATCTCTCAGAGAGGTGGTTTTCTTACAATATATTTGCACAACTCACCCAGACTACAATTGAAGCATTTATCCTACACTTGCAATTCTGTAATAACAACATTCGATTCAGGTTTTACTTACAAATGTACTGCAGCACGAATTATATGAGAAATTCCTCATTCTTTCCCAAGATGCTCTAATCTAGTCACACATGACAAGGCATGTGACATTTGAGAATAAACTGAAGAAATGAAATGAGCCAGTTTCAGAAAAAGGTAACCAAAAGGGGATTCATATTGAAATGTCGACTTGAATCAATGAACTTTTGAGACTTACACTAAATCTATTTTTAAGTAGCCTATGAAAAGGGGTAAGCGATAGGGAGGAGAAAGAAGAATGGACAATATAAATGGCCTCAAGAATTCAGTTTCCAAGCCAGGCAGTGGTGGTGCATGCCTTCAGTCCCAGCACTTGGGAGGCTCTGTAAGTGCAAGGCTAGCCTGGTCTACAAAGCAAGTTCCAGGAAAGTCAGGACTACACACAGAGGGCCACAGCTACAGACAGAGAAACCCTGTCTCAAAAAGCCAAAAATTAATAATAATAATAGTAGTAGTACTAGTAATAAATAAGTAATTCATCACAGAAATTTTAAAGCTGCAACCAACACAAAATTATCCAAGATCTAGTCTATGCTTATAGAAATGGAAAACAGCAATGTAAAATTAGCAATGATAGCCTAAGTAACCAGAGTTTAGATTTCCCCATGCATAACTGGTAAGTATGAGTGTAAACTCTACACTCAGCAACAAAAGGCAAAAAACGTGAATGCCAACATAAACTGTTCACTAATGTCAACCTAATCCATTTTCCTCCACATTAAAGACCAAGTGGCTATCTTCAGATCTACATATTTAAATCCCATAATCCCCTTCCATTCTTCCACCAAGACACTGAACTACTCAGACATGAAAAGGAGTGACTGAGGCTGGAGTAGTTCCCTCTCCTGTCATGCTACTGAGCAGAAAGGAAAGCAGACTTGCTCACACGTTCACACAAAGCAAGTTTTCCTGTTTCTGTTTTTGAGGCAAATGAACATTTCCAGGTGATTATATGAATTATCATTCAAATTATGATGAGTCATCATTTTACTTGTGATTAAATTACAAAAAATTTATATTAAACTTGTATGTATATATCTATGTATATAGATACACACACTTTATATATATATATTATAAAACCAAGAGCAAGTATAAATTTATGTTTATGACAAGGTAGCAATTTTCAACTATTAAGTAGCAGATCTAATATTTTAGTCTACATCTTTAAGAAAACAAAAAAAGAAAGAAAAAAGTAGATGCATTCAAGGATAAATTTCAAACAGAATTCCATAGTGCATTAGAGGCTAAGTGAACTAGATCTGCACAATAATATAAACTTCTAAACGTCATATGTGCTCTCATTTCGAAGTTTTGTTATAATACCTCATTTATTAAATACAATTATAACAAGTAAATTTTATAAATCCATACTATAAAATAAGTACAAAATAAAATTTCATGTGTAAGCTTTTAATATGTTGGATATGTTGGGGCCTTCCCTAAGAATTTAAGAATTTGCAAAAATCTAATTATTTGCTGTTTTAAAAGTTGCTTTTAGAACCAGACTTGGTAGTACTTGCCTATAATTCTGGGAGGCTGAAGCAAGAGGATTGCAAAGTCAAGGCCAGATCTGTTTTTAAAAAAGTAAAAACAGAGAAGGAGGGGTAAAAAGAGTAAAACCTTACAAAAATGGAAAATAAAAGCTCTATACAGAATGTTCAGAACTGTTCTCTATTGTATTAGTCAAGAATATGTTTAAAATATTCTATTGACACAATTACAGGAGTATAATGTACCATTCAGAAAACAATTCAGTAATTACTATAACTGAAGCACTGCTTAAAATGTAACTGTTCTCCCCAAATTATGTGATTAAATTCCATTCCCTCTTTTGGGAATCCATGGCAGCATGTATGCATGTGATCCCCGTCCTGGAGAGACAGAGGCTGGAGGTAAGGGGCCCAAGGCAACCTAGGCTACTCAGCAAACTAGAGCCAACACTGGACCACACTGAGATCATGTCTAAAGAAAGAAAAAGGAAGGAAGAAAAATTTATTCTCCCAACTTGCTAGGTAACCATGAAACTGTATACTCTACTAGTTCAGCAAATATTTCTGTTTTACAATGCTAAAAAACCTTTAAATTTATAATCCCTTTGAATGTTAAGTTTTAAATATACATAATAATGTCACTTAGTTAATTAAAACAGTATTTATTCCAGCTCTCTAGTTATCAGTCTACATTAGATTTTAAAAATAAAAAGGTCTGAGGTCTATATGTAAAATTATTCTAAAATTTAAAATCTGGATTCAAATGTCAATTCAAACAAAAAATAAAGAAAAAGTGAGATATTATAAATATATATTAATTATAAAATAAAAAGCAGTACATGAGAAAGCACTGAAGCATATAATAAAAAATAAAAAAGACACTATTTTTCTGATTTATATAGCAAATTAGCACTTTTTACAAAGCTACCAAATAATAACTCATTTTAAAAAGCAGAAACTCCTCTTTCCAAAGAAGGCTAATTTATAATTTCTTTTAAAAAATGCTCAATTAATACATTGTGTGAATTTCTACAAATATCTAATGAATTAACTATCCAATACACAAGGAGTAATAAGTCACTCGAGTTTGAAAAGCACTACTGTGGTGATCAAATGTTCTGGCAATGACAACAAAATGGTGAGAAATCACAGGAATTTAACCTTTGACCTCACCATCCTAATATACTGTTTCTCTAATATAGGTTTACTGCTCTTAGAAAACGTTGCAACTTCTTCACAGGCAAATTCTCTTTCCTATACAAAGCTGGTTATGTTCAAATGTTTTCTAATTGTAATGTTTAAAGATAAAAGCTTACTGGTTCTTACCTCAGATCCTGATGCATGTGACAAGTCTCTTCACTGGCAGATCTGCTGCCTAAGCAGCCTCAGAGATTGGGTTAGCAGCCATTTTGAGACAGCTGCACAGTCTCAGTTGCACAAAAGTGTAATTAAGATGGCTGCAACGTGCACTCAAGAACTCACACAGTGAAAACTCAGCCATGTATCAAAGAAAGCCCCGCCCACTTTGTCAGCCTGCAGGAAACTGAACACAGATAGCTAATGCATATACTGCAACAAACAATGCAGCTACTTAGCACACAGAAAAAGAAAACGGAAGGCAACAAGCCAGTTTTACAACAAAATGCCTGTGAATCCGGACTTGCAACAGACTTTGGGCACATTCCGATCCCAAACAACTTGAAATCCATGCCACATTTTAGCAGTTACAGAGATAGAGCCAGATCACACAGAGCAAACACTAGGGAATTCGCCTGAAAGAAAGCCTCCATTTCAGTCCAGAAAAAAAGGGGAGGAAAAAAGTCAAACCCCTCAAACCCAGCTCAAGACCCTTTTTTTTTTTTTTTACTTTTTCTTCTTTACCTTTAATAGAATACATCCATCAAAAGAAGAGTGTCAAATTTGTTTAAATCTTATATTCATTAGATCAAGTTAATTTTAATCTTAAAAAGCTAATTAAAAATTTCCCCACAGAATCTAATCTTCAGAAGTGCTCAATCCAAGTTTACAACCACATTTTCTAATTTTAACAATAAAGTCTAAGGTGGCAACAAAGCTTAATTTAGTAATTTCTCATAAAATCAAACATTTCTTCTCTTTGTGGTCCAGATGTGACAGACACACTCTCAGGTGGCACAGGAAAAAGTCAGGGAGGATGCAGACTCTCTGGGAAGGAAAAGTAGGGAGGACAAAAGGGTCCAGGCCAGTCTGGAAGAGGGACCGACACTTAGCCAAATCTGAGAACACTGCCAGCAAAACAGGCCTGGCACAGACACAGGCGGGCGGGCGCAGAACAGGCGAAAGGGAGGCAACACAAAGGACCTCTTCTGCTTCCTTTGCCATCAGCTATGGAGCCCAGTTTCTTCCATCTTCTTTGGTATTCAGTCCTCAAGTTTAATTACCCTGTGTCATGTCTATCGAAATGTTGGCATTTCTTACAACTTTTTAAAAGAGGTGGCAAAAACCAACTAAAAGACTATCATTGTCTCATTTTATGTACATATTTGAAACATTCCATAAAATGTGTCTAATACTTGGCCTTGAAAGAGGCCTTTATTCACTTTTCCATGAGATGGACTGGATAATATCTTTGAAAACTGCCGTATGTGCAGGAAACAAGACACATGACACGTGATCCAAGCCATATCGGATCACAGTCTGGGGACCAGGCTTGGGCCTTGAGCATGCTAAGGAAGCCTCCCGCCACACCGCTCCTGCATAAAACAACCCCCGTTTGTTTTCGAAGGGTTTCATCATTGTAACGAAACCCTGAGTTCTCTGTATACTCAAGCTGCCCTCAAACTTGGAACCCTCCTGCATCCACCCCTTGAATGCTAGGATTTGGGGTGTTTGTGCCACCACACCTAGCCAAACCATAGTAGCTCTTAGAACTATGGCTGAGGGCAGCTTTGTCGATTCAGTAAAAGCAGGAGTTAGTAAACTGGGAATGTTTGGAATAGATATGATTACTATAAAACTAGGATGGAAGTTTAATGGGATGAGGCATTACAAATAACAAAAATATAGATATCTGGCAAATTTTAGATGCTATCTCAATTGTTACTCTGATCCTAATGGCAAGTTTTATCACCAATTTGTGATAGCCAAAACAGGCTCAGAGATTAAACTGCAGTTAAAAATTAATAACCCTGAAATATAACCCAGACTACATTCGGCTTCAAGGTGTGCAGCTTCATCCAGCCCTTTCAGACTCCAGTTCTCTTGGTCTGATAAAAAGGAAAATGGAAGGCTGTTACAGCAACTGACGTCACTGTCCACATCTCTTCATTCTGTGTCTCTAAAACCAGCCGAGTTCACCTATTCTGGATTCAGTGTTTATTGTTTGCTTGAGGAGTGCCACTCTTCAGGCCTAGAATTCCTAAGCCACATTCCTCCTGCCTCAGCCTTCCAAAGTCCTGGAATAACAGGCATGGGCCAGAACAGCCACCATTTGTCACCATCACTAACAGCCCTCCTCCTTGCCGCCTTTCTCCTTAGCATGCCCAGCACCTAACCTGGAACAACTGCTCCCGAGCCCTTCAGTTCCTATCTCTGCTGCACGTACCACACCACACTTCATATTTCTCTTTCCAGAGATCATGTACCATTAGAGAATGCATCTTAGTTTGTCTCCCTTGAACATCATTTTTCTGTTCAATAGTATAGAACTATCTCAACAGACAGTAAATTGAGATTCTCATTTTTTTGTTTCTGACACAAAAATCTCAGAAAAATATGAACCTTCACTTGTAGGGTCTCTTTTCTTACTTCCTAATTTTCTCCTACAAGACTGCAGTTCAGAGTCCAATGTGGTAAAGATGCCTTTTGTGGAGTACATTCCAGTTTTTAGGGTTTGACAGGAACTGCACAGTGTCTACTGTTTGCACAGCATAGCTAAGCTTTGAAACAGCTATAGAAGCAGATGGTCTGCTTTTCTTTCAACAGTTATTAGTATTATTGCAACCACTACTAGATGTGTGGGCACACAGATCAGAACACATACGCATGCTCGTGGCTTGTGCGTGGACAGCAGAGGACTTCTGGGAGTTGGTTCTCTCCTTCCACAGTGGGTTTCAGAGACAGAACTCACGTCAGACTTGTGCAGCACCCTGAGTCATGTACCGGGGGGAGGGGGGGTGTTTTATTAATTAGAATACCATTCAATAGATTTCATTATTGTATTTTCACATATAACTTATTTGTTTTAAAATTCTATTAATATTTCGCTGGGCATTGGTGGCGCACGCCTTTAATGCCAGCACTTGGGAGGCAGAGACAGGCAGATCTCTATGAGTTCGAGGACAGCCTGGTCTCCAAAGAGAGTGCCAGGATAGGCTCCAAAACTACATAGAGAAACCCTGTCTCGAAAAAACAAAACAAAACAAAAAAATCTATTAATATTTCTAAGCCCAACACAGCTTGACTTAATGTCATAAATTATCTTTTAGGAAATTTTAAATAAGGACCATCATTGATAAGAAATGCTTTCACACACTCTTCTCATCTCATTATTACAATGATGCAGGCATGTCCTACAGTCCCAGGCTGTCTCAAAAGGCATTTGCAAATGACAGAGTCTAGACACTCCTGAGAGTGAGTGCTACACTATCAACTTATATGTCCAGAGAACACAATCATTTGGCAGGAATTACACAAGTAGTAATGAGGGAGGGAATTAAAACTTATTTTTTATTTACCACATTACTGTAATAACAATACATGTGTAAATTATTGAAAACTACTAGACTTTAAGTAGTAAGACTTTTACTACTGTGTTTTGGTAGACGGTTCCATTTATTTAGTTATGACACACTACACAAACTGTTCACATCCATGTCTTAGGGAAAAAGGACATAAAAGAACGAAAAGTACAAACTGGATCTTCACCAACTTTTCTGGGTTCTAAAAAATGTAACTTCCTTTGCCCTGCTCATCCATCCTTTTTTGGAGACTCTGCCCCTCCCTCACAACAATTACACAACTCCACAGCTCAACCTGCTTGCTTTCTTCAACTGCAACTGCAAAGGCATGCGTCCCCTTTCTCCATCTCCCTGGAGGGGGTGGAACATGACTGACAGGAGGACACTTAGGCCACCAAGCTTGACAACACATGTTTATCCCTGGGACCTGCACAGTGGAAGATGAGGTGACGCGAAGCATTTCTAGGACCTCCACACCCACGCAAACAAACACATGGCCCCTCCACCTCCTTTCTCCACGTTTGTTTCAGTAAATCTACATGCCCTGATCAAACAGTCCAGGCAACAGGAGCTTCTGGGAAACCTAGCGAAGTCTGAAAATAAGATTCCCCAATTAAAATGAGAGTTCAAAGGTCAGAGATGTAGGTTTGTAAGAGGGTTGGTGTGGCATTTACAAGGTGCTGGATTCCAAATCCAGCAACAACAACAAAAGTTTAAATCAATCTAAATTTAGGTATTTCAACTGACTTTTTTCTACCACATCATATTGTATAGTAAGCCCAGAAAAAGGAACCCAACTAAGCCTTTAACATGGAAGACAGAAAGCAAAAGGCAACAATACTAAGCAATTCACTATTCATCAATAAGAAAATTTCAAAGCCTATTATTATATGAAGAAAAAAAAAGTTGCACTTTTAAGTCCAGAACAGAATAATACAGGCAGGAAATGGGGGGGGAGTTAATATAAGAAATGAAAAATTCAATAAAAAATTATCTGATGAACTTGAAACAAACTGCTTCAGCAGGAGACAAATTATAAATAGAAAGAAAAGGGAGTTAGAGTATCTATACAAAAATTGAAAATGAAAGTGCAGAATAGCAGAAGATATCACCATTGAAATCATTTAAGAAAATGCTCCAAGATATAGCTCACTAGTGAAAACTTGCTTTCTGTACAATCTTCAATTGTAAAACAAAGGAAAATTACTTCATATTAGAGTTCTATACCCAGCCAAACTATCAATCATTAAAATACTGAATGAGATTTTTCTAGCATAGATGGCCTTTAAAAAAATATCATATATCCTATCTAAAAAGAAAATTAAAATTACTACATAATAGCTTCCTCCTCAGAAACAAAGTCAATCAAAATAATGGCATATGGAAAACAAGGGTTCTACAAAAAAAGGAAACCTCCTTAATAGTGAACAAAAGCGTTAGGATTACAATTGCATACAAGAGAGACCAAAGAGACTTCTTATGACATAAAGGAGGCATTGCCCTCTCGAATTAACATTTGTATGAAGGCATTAGGTCAAGATTTTCATGGTAGTATTAATACAAAGCAGACAACTTTATGAAAGCAGTATTTAATATTGACAAATATATTCAGAAAGACCTTACTGGTAAGCTAAATTACCCAAACATTTTTAAGACTGATTGCATAGGGTATGACTCTCTGTTTTATTTTTTATTACATGTATTTACTTGGGATGGGGCAGAAGCTAACCCATGCCACAGATTGTGTGTGGAGGTCAGAGGGCAAGAGTCAGTTCTTTCCTTCCACTTGGTGGGTCACAGGAGTTGAATTCAGGTGATAAGGCTCCCCAGCAAGCAGCTTTACCCACTGGGATATCTCACAGACCCTCTCCTACATGTTTTCAGTGAGAGGCTTACATTTGTGGCAGGCAC